TCATAATCATCGTGGTGGTATTTTACTAAAGCAGGTGAGATAGTGGTCAAACATCGGCCCATCAAATATAAAAAAGTAGTACCAAATTCCAGGTAAGGTACCGTAGGTAACGGACGAGCATGCATAAAAAGATTGATAACTGTTGATGAAGCGAGAAAGATATGTAGGATTAGTAGCAATAGGGATGATGATAGTCAGTCCGAGCATGTATGAAAAGATTGATAACTGTTGATGAAGCGAGAAAGGGATGTAGGAATCGTAGCAATAGGGATGATGACAGGGTATGAAAATTAAAAATCTAATTAGTCCGTCAGTTAGGTTAGGTTATTATTTTTCACGTATTTTTTTATTTTGTCCTATAAGAAAACAATACTAGATATAACGAATCAAAGTTTAGGAGTGAGGGCTATAACATCATTTCTAACTATAAATTGTACATAGAAGTATTAATAATATATCATATGATATTTCAAATCGATATATCGTCGAAAGTATTCGTTTCTGTAAGAAAATAAAATATACGTGTCTAATGTTTTAAAATAATCAACGAGGCGGACATTGAAATGAAAATTAGTCATCTACCCTATTGGCGTTCCATAGTCTCTGTCTACCCCCACGAGAGACAGGCGTGAATTTATGTGTGTATGTAAGTACTACCAGCGAAGTGGCAAGGCTGCAGGAAGAAATCCCATAAGTTATCACTTAACCAAAGGTACATAGGTACTGGATATCTCCAGTACCTATGTACCTTTGGTTTGTTATGTATATAGAGGTATATTTTTTTCCTGTGTATTGTCTGTGTTGTGTACATAAATAAATAACCGAGTTATAAGTAAATAACTTTATTTAGTACTAGCTTTTACCCGCTGCTTCGCTCGCGTCACAAAAAGATAAAAAGTACCTAGCCTATGTGACATATACCAATACACAGCGCCATCTATACTAATACTTTTGTTTTCCATCGGGAATATCAATTTATTCCGGGATAAAAAGTACCATATTATTTAATCCGGACTTCTAACTTTACTTCTGCAAAAATTCAAAGCAATCGGTTTAGTAGTTACGGCGTGAAAGCGGAACAAACAAACAAACTCACTTTCCGATTTATAATATTATAAGTAAGGAAAGGAAGTAAGGATAAAGATGCAGGTAAGTAAACATTGATTCAGTACAAAGACTATTATGTCGTTGTTGTTGTACCAAATAATACCTTGTAACGAAGTCATAACTTCTGTAACCATTACTCGGCTTAGTAGACATCCAATGGACACTGTCTCTGTATTCAATCAATCTTTAATTTTATTGAAGAATAATAAACGAGATGAAAGTTTAACAATACGTTTGTTAGCCGGTAAAGATTACAGACTTACAGGGAACATACATAGCGCACTAGCGCCACATGTGACAACAATCGGAAACTTAAGTTGTGTTCAAAAACTACATTAAACTAACAATATAGATTTTATGTTTACTATTTCAACAGTTCTGTTATCTGCATATCAAATAGTGGCTAACTGTCGTAGATACTCTTAACTAAGGTTACTTTTACCACCTAATAAGATGACTATGTTTCATTATGTTTTTATAATAACTATCGTGAGACACTAAATTAACTAAAAATCGCAGGTTACTCACGTGAATATACTGATGTCGCGCAGCCTACTCTAGACATTGCCGCGACCGCACACTCTGCTCATGAGGAAGAACCCCTCTGTGGTTCGAAACTAGTAGAGATTTTCTCAGTATATTTACGTGAGTAACCCGCGATTTTTAGTTAATGTTTCATTATATCGCAATATACAGTAGGTTTGTTTTCTATTACGGATAATATTTTCTATTCCTACCTCCTCCCCATTTTAGTTCCAGTTCCAACCCGTCCAACCAAATTTAATTGTCTACCCCACCCAAGTCGTAAAAGGATAAAATATTGCAGTGTTATTTACTCAAACGTCCAATTCTGGTAATGAATGACAAATAGCTACATTTCATATGAATAATGTCCAAATACTCAAACGAAACACTACTCAATTTTAAGTCGCGTTTAAATATAGTTCTGTCCCTATAAATTCTTTGTAAAATGACAGAGACAGCACTATAAAATTGAGTAGCCTCTCAATATTCGGGCGTAAATATCTTAAGTGTTTTGAATATGTATTAGACAGCTTAACCACTCGCATTTGCAGTTCATTGTTCGATGTTTTATTGTCGACTTCTTAACATTAATATTATACATAGTATCTCATAATAATAATGTACGTTTCATACAATCTATAGATGATAATGGAATTTCAGTATGAGAATATCTACTCTACATACATAACGTCACGCCTTTTATCCCCGTATGGGTAGGCAGAGGTGCACATCATGCCACTGTACAATGTAACACCCACTTTTCACTATTTATGTTATGAGTCCCATGTAATAGGGGGTGAGCCTATTGCCATATACCGGGCATAATTCCAGACTCCGTGCTACTACTGAGGATTTTATAAAACCCAGTAAAACTTTGCCCGACCCGGGAATCCAACCCGATACCCCTTGCCCGGCAGTCGCACTTGCGACCACTTCAGCCAACGACGCAGTCTCTATCTTTCCTACCTAAATATACCTATATATCAAAATGTTTAATATTGCACCCCCGATATGTAGGCGACCTAAAGCGATTAAACTGCCAAGCGGTCACCGGTGACCGCAACCTATTGTTCTATAATTGTGTCTACAAAACCGGTACTCGACGAGTTAAGAGTGAAGCTATTTGCTCATTCCAAGGTGTAGATTCCTATGGAGAAGAACGAGCAAGAAACTTTATAGGTTACTCTTTTTCAATCAGGTTCACAATACAATTCTCTAGTTACATAGTTTTGTTGTTTGGATTATGCGAGAACAATGTCTAAAATCCAGTCAAAGACATATAAAATAAATGACTAAATCTTTCAGTTCATACTGAACTTGTACTAGGGAATAATTACAGTTTCTCTGTCAATTTCCTGACTAAATAACAGACTTGATGTTAAATACCCACAGAGCAAGCTAAATTGGAATTACTTCAGCGTCGAGGATTCCCTGAAGACTGAATTAATGTCTGAAGCTTCAAGCTAGGAATATTTATAGCATAATTAGCTAGGTACTCGGCTAGACACGACGCGTTGAGGGAAGATCTAGAAAACTAAATACAAAAGGTAAGTGATTTACTGAAGTTAATCTGGTTAAACTGTCAAACACCAAGCGGTCACCGGTGACCGCTTGGTGTTTGACAGTTTAAATTAAGGATATTACATAAGATAACATCACGCCTTTTATCCCCGAAGGGGTAGGCAGAGGTGCACATTACGGCACTTAATGCCACTGTACAATGTAACACCCACTTTTCACTATTTATGTTATGAGTCTCATGTAATAGGGGGTGAGCCTACTGCCATATACCGGGCACAATTTCAGACTCCGTGCTACTACTGAGAATTTTTTAAAAACACAGTAGTACTTTAACTTTAAGAATATTAGTGGTGATAATTTGTGATACTTATCTTTAAAGAAGTATGGTTTGGATATTTTTTTAGCATATGTATTTATTTTTTACATCTGCTTCATTTCTTCAGAAAGACCGTTTTGACACCTAATCTAAATGCTAGTTCTTTCATCATCATCATCCACAGCCGAAAGACATCTACTGCTAGACAAAGGCCTCCCACTTAGTCCTCCACGTCGAACGAGAACTCGTCACCTGCACCCACTGGCTCCCCGCAACTCATCGATGTCTTTAGTCATTTGTTAAACGGTAAACACAACGCTATTTTTGTATCATAAATAAATAAAAAATATTTATCTGATCTCCTTTAGCCCTAATACTCAATTATTTAGTACTCCTACATTAGGATTTTCTCCTGTGTCGTGGGTGCGTTTACAAACATACAAGTTCACATACACAATGCCACCCAGACCTTAAACAACGATTTGTGGATCACACAAAGTGTTGTTCCGTGCGGGAATCATACCCGCCACACGTTGCACGGCAGCCGATTGCCCAGCCACCGCACCAACAGTGCAATTAAATTCAGGTACCAGACTACCAGAAAACGATAAGAGGTGTTAACCTCATTAAAATGAATTCAAGGCGCGGCAGGGGTGTGTCAACGGTAGATATGAAACGTAATGATAACTATTATATTAATAATATAATTATTATAAAAGCGAAATCCGTGACAATAGTTCAACAGTTATCTGCATAATAAATAATGATAATGCCTGCTTCGTCTGTTGATTAAAATCCGGTTGTATTGTATATGTTTAGAAGTAAATGATTTGCATGAATTTGAGTTCAAAGCTTAAAATGTTTATTTGTTAGTCATATCTACAGTTCAACGGACATTTATAACGATAAATGACGTCAAAATTAGACTCATTTCAACGAACTATTCGAGGCAGCCAATCTTTTACATTTTCCAAAGTCATCTTGTTAATCAGCTGACCTGGAAGTCATTGAGGAGGCTATGTTTAGCAATTAATGTTACTGAAATAATGGGTAACAGGTTAAGTCGACCTAAATGCTTTAAGAAGTGGATGTAACCACGATTTGACTAAGGGACCCCATATCCCAGACCTAACCGATCCACAGTGTGTCGACTAGAACATGCTAGCTGGACAAAAATATTTTTTGACTTATATCACTTATGATGAATGAAAATAAGCCAAAATTATTATTTTTCCTGAGTTCTGGTGTTATTGGTATGAATAAAAAAATATAAATATATTAATGACCGGTTTAATTATATAATTAATGATACACACTAAATTAAAATGAATGTAGGCAAAAAGTGACTACAAAAACATTACAAATACAAAAACAAAACATTACATTATGTATAAGGCTGAAAATTAAAATAAATTCAAATGAAATGCAAATATTATGTATATCTAAAAAAACACATATCTAAACCGAATAAGATTTTTGTAAGTATTATATAAATAAATATTAAATATAATTATAGTAAGTACTAATACCAATTTATAATTAATCACTCTCACATTCAGATTCAGATGAATCAGGTATCAAATAATTTTCATCAGTATGATCAAGGTTACTTGGTACCTGTAATGGTGGCTGTGAAGGCGGGATAATCATGTCTAAAACTTCTGCGGGTAATTTATTCAACCTTTTAACAGGGACTCTATGTCCCGCCTTCATAGACCATTTCCTTGTCTGCTTGTAAGAGTGAGTGGTGCACTTAGAGTCTATATAATACGCTAAAGCTTCATCACTACTTAATTGTCTGCCACCAACACAAGATTCCGACGTGGATTGGTTACCCTTGGCTGGGTTGTTGCTACTTCGAATAGCTTTTGCTACATTCCTGTATCCTGCCTTTCTATGAGCTATCTCAGCAGCTAACGTTAGCTCACTTGCGCTACGCTCACTAACGAGGTCTTCTACGCAGCGTTTTTTAGTTTTCTCAGAAGCATTTTCGAAATCTATTGGCGGTCTTCCAGGATGTAGCTTAAGAGGTGCCGATGTGGAAGCCTGTGGTCTGTGAAAAGCAACCTTAAACTCTAAGTCTGCACCTTCCAGCCACGTCTTATTTTTTTCCAACATCCTTTTTTTATAGAATCGACAAGAATTCCATTTTTCAGTTAATTTTGCCGAAAATCTTGATATTTATAATTTAATTTCTTTTTCTGATGTATCTACAACATCCTCCAAGCTCCATTTCTGCTTTATATACCTTAGCATTAAATTATTTTTATCCTTTTTATCTAATTTGACCCACTCTTGAAAAAATTCAATACGAGTAAGTTTGTATGTAACTTCTGAAAAATAAAAATAAAACCATGTTGGACTGTGTTCGGGGTAAAAAAATATACATTATTTAAAAGCTAAAATATGTAGCTACCTCTAGAAAAAAAAAGTAAACTGGGGTAGACTGGGGGTTTTTAGTTACCCTCCAACAAACCTTTGAAAGTTAGAAAAATTACGCCTTGAAAGACGTATGAGGGTAGGTTTCTTTTATAAATTTACACAGTTAAAATTACTTTATCATGTATATATAATAAAAATATACATACCTTCTAGTATATAATCCATCACTAATAAAATAGATTCAATCACAAAATTTCTTTGGAGATGTTAATCAACGTAGTGCTAAATTGCAACTGAATAAATGTGCATTTGTGATTTACACAATAAAGGGTACTTACACATTTCAAACAAAACAAATCCACTGTGTTAAACGAAAACAATTCCTAGAATTAGCGTCTCTATGGTGTTGTTTACGTTAAACGACACTTTGTTTTCGAGTGTTTGATAACGATTTTTGTCCAGCTAGCATGTTCTAGTCGACATACTGTGCGATCCCAACATATCGGTCTTTGAGTATCTTTCATAAAAAATCCAGGTTTTTGTTGATGGCCCCCTTTTTGTGTTTGGTATCCAATTTTTTTCTGGTTTTACCATATTTTTAATTTGTATATATCTTGAGAACAGTTAAGTTTGGAATATGGGGTTCCTTAATCAAATCGGTCAGAAATCGTGGTTACATCCACGGCTTAAAGGATTTAGGTCGACTTAGTCTGTGAGGTAACCTGTAAATCGGTCAGGAAAGATGGATACTACCACCTCTTAACGGATTTAGGTAGACTTAATCTGTAACACTGTATATTATGATCATGATTATGATGATCCTTAAAAACTGAGTAAAACGTATGAATAAACTAGCGATAGTTAGCGTATTATACATATAAACCTTCCTTAAGAATCACTCTATCTATGAAAAAATACCGCATCAAAATCCGTTGCGTAGTTTTGAAGATCTAAGCATACATAGGGACAGACAGACGGCGGACCACAATTTCAAGTATAGCCAGAGAAAATACCTAAAAGCTATAGAAGCGGATTCTCAAGCCATTCTAAAAGGTATAAGATACAAGAAACCACTTTATTTGTAGCATTTATTACCAGAGCACGACTTCGGAGTGAGATCACCCGATTTGGCTGTGTTTGGTCAAACGTTGGATCAGATACGCCAACACGATTACACGACACAATGATTCGAACTGATGACTTACTTAGATATTTTGTAGTTTATAATATAAAGCTTTAGGTTTATTCTGATACTAAAATGGAGTATGTCAGGATATAGTGATAACGTCATTTTGGACTTAAAATCGTTTGATATAAGATTGAAATTGTAGTGCATGAAAAAATCTGAAGATATCATTGCGGATATTCCTCACATACTTTTAAAGTATTTTTAGCTTTACTGAAAGATAATAAATGTATGTCCTACCAATCAGTTAGGCAGTATCGATCTCGTTCGAGTCAGCTCGATCGCAACCCGTATATACATATATCCCCAAGCGGTCACCGGTGACCGCTCTCCACTAACTACATTGTAGACTTTATTTCCAATGTTTAGAGACTACTTTTGTATGAACGAATTTAAGGGATGATTTTCAACATAACCAATGACATGGTAGACCGCGATCGAATTCACTTCGAACTTTCGAATTAAAGTTACAGAATAATCACAATTCCAGGCTCAGCGCTACGAATTGCGAAACCGTAATTTTTAATGTTTCATTGCTTTTAACCTTCATGCTCAGAATTAATTTAAAAAATATTAAGACTACTAGAGCTACAAGAAAAGTAAAGAAGAAGAGTTCCTTTACACTAGTTTTCATGAAACCAAACTGTAAGGAATCTAAGATGGATTATCCCTCGGATATTACATCGAGAATCGGAAATGAGAAATGTTTCCAATTCCGATATTTCATCTATCTGCTAGATTATCGAAACCTATTAACGTTTTAGTTTGAAGGCAATCGAGTGATCGGTCTATCAATATCACTTCGCATTTGGTGTAGATATCGATTATGTTCTCCCAATGTGGTTGCACATGAGATATAACGAATCAAAGTTTAGGAGTGGGGTAAAACGTCATTTCTACGTATAAAATGTACATAGAAGTGACGTCACGCGACATTACAAATCAATATATCGTCGAAAATCAAAAATACGTGTCTAATGTTTTAAAATAATCTACCAGACGGACATTAAAATGAAAATTAGTCATCTACCCTATTAAAAGAAAACACGATTAATTTTTGTACGTGACAGACTTTTTGACGCCTGCGCCACTAAATCGCTGTCTGCTTTAAATAAGCTCTTTCTGTCTGTTAACATTGCAAGGGGTTTTACTCAAAAACGTTAATACACTTGGCAGAGATTGGAAGATTAGTTGAATCTCATCGCCTACCGATTTGAAAATAAATATTCAATAACATTCTTTCTGTGTTTTTATAATAACTATCGTGGGAGATACTGAAGTTACTAATATTCACCAGTTACTCACGTAAAGATATTTAGTAAAGCTCTACTAGTTTCGAGTCACAGAGGGACTCTTTCTCATGAGCAGGGTGCGCGGTCGCAACTTTTCTCAGTATATTTACGTGAGTAACTGTTAATTTTAAGTTAAAACATTCTTATTTTTATCGTAGTATGACTTCGTCACGAAACTTGCTGATGTTGAGTTCATTTTTTAAGTAATAGGCGAGCTCCATTTTCGTCCACTTCATCGCTTACCACTGGTGAGGATGGCGAGACTTGAGTACCAACTATGAAGATAAGAAAGATTCGAAAGCTGAACAAATACAAATGGAGATCGCAGTCTAATTAAATATCGTTATTATAATCAAAACATACCATTATCAAGTAATTACAGAGTTCTACTGAGATTTTATAGCTTAGTACTATTAAATAATATACTAATCGCAACTATATTGATGATTTTCTAAAATAGACCTTATAGTTAGAGTGTAGAGTTGATAGTCTTTCTTGAGCTAAAGGCTGTTTGGAAACTAATATACAATTAACTGTTCTAGTTACATTATGAATGCTTATCTATTAGTTTCAAGCTTATATAAGATAATATTTACTGACTGACAGACTGCCTCGGTCGCAAGTGCGACTGCCGTGCAAGGGGTCTCGGGTTCGATTCCCGGGTCGGGCAAAGTATTACTGGGTTTGTAAAAATTTCAGTAGTAGTCTGGAAATGTGCCCGGTTTATGGCAATAGGCTCACTCCCTATTACATGGGACTCATAACATAATTATAGTGAAAAGTGGGTGTTACATAGTACCTACCCCTTCGGGGATAAAAGGCGTCATGTTATGTTATGTTATAAATATGTGTAAGAAAATATTTACTTTTGTACGCAACGAACACATCTAAAATCTCTGTGGTAGTGATGCCTTGTGGCATTCCCATTAACACTTAGCTCATGACTTAATTATTTCGAAGTCGATAGGTAGCATATTAATCCAGCACTCTCAGAGAATCCTTCTTGCGCCCTACTAGAATTTATCACCATGCTATCACACATTTAGGAGAGACATACATTCCCATCACGAAATTTTTGATTTACGTACATACTTAATAAACTGATCGTTGCCGCGATAGCTTTGCAACCGGCTGATGCACAAATTTCGCGGGTTCGATCCCCACGGAGCAACTACAACAGGTCTGGGTGTCATGTGTATGTGAACTGGTATGTTTGTAAACGCACCCACGACACAGGAGAAAATCTTAGTGTGGGGGCTGGGGGCATTTAATGAAAAAAAATTGCGACAGTTTTTATTACTTTGTGAAACAAGTGAATTTATTTCTGCAAATAGGCTACAAGGCAGCACTTTTACACGTAAATTTTATCAAGCGAACGATGAGGTCGACATTTCCTAACTGACTACTCTGAGAAGAAATGCCGAAACGAACTCAGAGGTCTGTCTCTTTTAAGTCGAGACGAATATGTGAGAATCGTGCAAGTTCTTTCTGTAGTGGTATTTTGTCTCTTACTAACGGATACTTTATCCATAGTGAGGTAATTTTCATATAATATCTATCTGTTAAATTAACAGGAACATATGAAAGAACCCTTTAAATGTGAAGAAATATTGTCCAATCTGTACATACTTTACTAGGTACTCAGCAGTACGCGGTATACAAAAACATGACACCTCTTTCGACCCGAAGGCATATAACACCGTTATATATACATACATACACAAATACATACAGCTCACGTGGCCGAATCAAAATACTCGGCACGTGGGTTATTGGGCTAGCAGCCAACTATGTACATTTTTACAGTCTTTTACACTATACGCATAATTTTCGCTTGTGTATATGTGTGGCTACAATTATCGCATATTTCAAGATTCGTCGACCGAGTGGCTGCAAATGCGACTGCCAGGCAAGGAGTCTCTGGTCGGGCAAAGTATTACTGGGTTTTAAAAAAAAATCTTATTGGTAGCACGGAGTCTGAAATTGTGCCCGGTATATAGCAATAGGCTCAACTCCCTATGACATGGGACTCATAACATAAATAGTGACTGAAAAGTGGGTGTTACATTGTACAATGGTATAATGTGCACCTCTGCCTTCCCCTTCGGGAATAAAAGGCGTGATGTTATGAACCCGAGACCCCATGTCTGGCAGTCGCACTTGCGACCAATCGCCAACGAGGCAGTTAAAAATAAACATTAGTTAATATTACTCAACTCGCTATTATGAGCAAACACAATCAAAACCGATCAGTTCTCTTGTGTATCCACCCACACATACATTCAAACTTTATAATATTAATGATATACTCTGTAAACAGTTAAATTGTAAGTCTGTTTATGTAAAGTACTAGTTTCTAACCATTACTGAAGAAACTTCTAGTAAGGTCTTGGTTAAATACATAATACATATCAAATACCTTATGACTTCTCCCGCCTTGGACGAGGCAAGAGAGAGTGTCAGACTCTTAACTTTTTTCTATACTAATATTATAAAGAGGAAAGATTTGTATTTTTGTATTTTTGTATGTTTGTAATGAATAAACTCAAAAACTACTGGACCGATTGCAATAATTTTTTCACCATTAGAAAGCTGCATTATTCAGAATTAACATAGGCTATATAATATCACGCTAGGTCCTATAGTTGTGGAGCAGTAACCAAAAATGTTTTAAAAACGGGGGAAAAGTATCGTTTCTGAGGCCTTCCGTGGCGTGCGCTGAGCATATAGTTAAAGTTATACAAAAATGCTCTATAGATGAATTGTTCATCTTAACATTATTTTTAAAAAAGTCCGCGAGAGCATATGTCTACCTTTTATAGTTTACCCATAACAATCGTTTTAATGAATGGTTCAATCCTTATAAAAGTTTGCTATAGATAACTTTTGAATTGTTCAATCGGTTACCTTAGAGAGATTAAGATTATTAATTCATCCAAAAGATACCTATTAGGTAAGTACTTACCTACTATTTCAAAAATACATAAAAAAGATGAAGTCCGGAAAAATATTTTCAAAAGGTAAATACTTCCTAAATTAAAAAAAAAACTGAGAACAAATATAAATAAAACGTAAAACTATGTAAAAAATCTTAAGTCCTCCCGTGCGAAGCCGGGACGGGCCGCTAGTATAAGATAAGCCGGTAAGCAGACGGATCACCTGATGGTAAGCAATCGGCGTCGCCCATGGACACCCGAAACACCCGAGGCGTTACAAGTGCGTTACCGGCCTTTTGGGAATTAGGAATTTGAGGATTGTGGGGGATTCGGGGATTGAGGATACTGGGGAAGAGGGTAATTGGGCCTCCAGTAACCTCACTCACACGACG